GAGTCGGCCCATCAGAGAAAAATCCTCTTTTAGGACTGAAAATTAAAGGGAACTGGTGAGCCATATCCTCATTGGTGATGACCTGGGTGTACTTGTGAGTGGATGTGGGAGAAACGCAGCAGTGAAGACGCAGGCTGAGTTCTATTGGCACTTTGAGATGAGAGGAAAGGGAAGGCTGATTCGTCTGAAGCGTAGGGAGTTGTGTGAACTCCTGAGCCCATGAGTACTGACCCTGGGGGCTAAGGCTGAGAGTGAAGGGGCCAGCTGGTCTGAAGAGCAAGGAGATATGTGTGAACTCCCAAACTTGTAGCTGGATGACTAAAGATGAGTTGTGACCAGAATATGACTAGATGGAGATAAAGATGTTTGATACTATGACCAAGTGTCAATTGCTACAATTTGAAGGACTTGTCTTTTGCTTATGGATACAGTTGCTCAAAATTCCAACTGGAATAAAAGATTCTTCAAATCAAAGAATATGCTTATCTCCTGAATATATTAGGTTGATAAGGGATGGGCAATGTAGACACTGACTATCAAAAATGGGGCGCTATAAAGGCATGAAGTGGCTGACTTAAAAGCTTTCATGGGTGTGCTTAGTTTTATTTAGACTGAGGGGACAAGGAAGAATCCCCACTGACTAGTTAGTTTTCCTGTTTTCTAGATGGGCCTGGTCAAAGGGGGTACGTGATGGTGCTGATAGGATTTAATGATTTTAATTGTAGTTGTTAGTAGGATTGTGATTGTTAAAACTGTGATTGTAGACAATGTGCAAATAAAGGGGAGAGTAGTTAATCTTTCATTTCAAGAACAAATGATCCCAGGACCATCTGAAAGGAAGAGCCTGAGTGGAGCGTGGGATCTCTGCCTGGAAAAGCAGCAACAGCGTAGAAGACGGAGCAGCTGTGGACTCTAGGTTGAGTAAGGCTGTGTGCCTATGCGCAGGAGGCTGGCTTTCAGAATGTGCCCTTTGGACATTTAAATAAATACTTGTTTTATTTTGTATGTGTGCATCAAATATTTTTGCTTTGTTCATTTGTGACATATAAGATGTAACTGTGACCAGTGCATTCTGGTTGTACATGTTTTAATTATGTTAGGCACAAGTAGACTACAATTTTCTTTAGAGATTATGTAAAAAGTTTATAGGTGTCAAGTTGACAAGGATGGACTATAATAGGGTTCTGTGTCAACTAGATCAGAATTTCCAGTTGTTTAGCAGTTCGTATGTGCTTAGTCCCATGGTCATGAACCCTAATATAGGCTTAGTTAACTCTAAAATGAGTGGCTATGAATAGCCAATCAATTGAAGAAATGCTTCCTTGGGGGTGTGGCCTACTCCCAATATAATGAACACGTGAGAAAGGCTCTGGGGACCTGGGACTCTACAATTGTAAGCCATTTCCTTGATAAACTTCTCTTTATGTATAGAAACATACATAGTGGTGGTTATGTGCCGTGGAGTCCGAACCAACTCATAGCGACTCTACAGGGTTTCCGAGGCTCTAAATTTTTACAGGAGTAGAAAGCCTCATCTTTCTCCCGCGGAACACCTAGTAGTTTCGAACTGCTGACCTTGTGGTTCGCAGCCCGATTTGTAACCACGATGCTACCAGAGCGCCTAGAAACATTATATATATAATGTCAGAAGGTTCTGTATGGGGCTCAGGATTCCCAAGGTCCTATACACTGCAAAAGCTCCGCAAGAGGCCTATTTCACTGTAGCCCTTCTTCTTTGATGCTAATAAGATTTACCCCTCCCTGTCTGCTGCTGAGATGGCTTATTTTAGACCCAGCAGGATGGCAAAATTGACTAATTCCTTTGTTAGATTTCCAGGTTTTTACAATCTCAATGAACCCTGTTAACAATCACTCACAACTGAATTATATAATCCTTTCAGCATCTTTCTCCACCTTCTCTTATCCATACCCATCAGGAAAAAGTCATTTGGTGGGAGTTATAAAGACTACAAGGAGCCCTGGTAGCATAGTGAGTTATGCATCGGACTACTAACTACAAGGTCAGCAATTCGAATCCACAGCTGCTCCTTCTGGAGACACATGAGGCTTTCTGTTCCTGTAAAGATTCACAGCCTTGGGAACCTTATACAGGGTTATTATCAGTCCGAACTGACACCACCCACAAAGTGTATGGTTAGAAAACCCATATTAAATAAATACTGCACTGCAGCATTTTTCAGGTTTTTATGCTTGATTATTGGAGATGGGGAGTGAAGGTTGTGTGGTGAGTGTGCGTGCTGGGAGTGGTACTGTTGTTGTTAGGTTCCGACTCATATCGACGTTATGCACAACTGAATAAAACACTCCACGGTCCTCTGCTAAAGTCACAATTGTTACACTTGAGTCCATTGCTGCTCTCACTGTGTCAGTCCATCTTGTTGCAGGTTGTGTTAGGCCAGATTTTCTAGAGACACAAAATCAATTGGTTAATTTAATAGGTGACAGGATTGTCAATGAATGCCTGTGGAGAGTCCAACAGGATGATGTTTTTGTTGTTGTTGTTGTTGTTGTTATTTTGCCAGGTTAAACAGATTCATTCTTACCAAATGAAAATCTGTTAGGGCTCTGATTCTCTCATTACTGTTGAGACAAGTTTCAAGTCTTTTTTTATGGAGTCAGTGAATCCTGTTAATAAACAGGACAGCGTCCTTTTTTTTTTGATGATGGATTTTTCTTTTATTTTGAATGCAGTTATGTTAGAATTTAAAAAATATATATTTTATAACTATCAATGTAATATTACACTTTATTAAGGAACATCCAAAAATGCTAATGAACCTTTCTTTACGTGAAGGCCTGTGAGAAACAGAATATTCTCAGAATGAAGTATTTTTAAGGAGCTCTGGTAACATACTAAGTTATGTGTTGGGCTGCTAACCAAATGGGCAGTTTGAATCCACCAGTTGCTCCACAGGAGAAAGATGAGGACTTCTTCCATAAAGATTTACAGTATTGGAAGCCCTGTACATGGTCGCTCTAAGTTAGAACCGACTCAGTGGCATATAGCAGCAGCAACATATTTCTTCATTTTGGGACAATGGTAGTTCCGAGGTAGAATTCTTGCCTTCCATTCAGGAGACTGATTAAATTCTGCACAACCACCACCCCCTTATCAAAGGAGGCAGGTGTGATGCTGTGATGACCGTAGAACCGATTTCAGTGTAAACTTTTATACTAGTAAGAAAGGCCTACCAATCTACTTCTGATAATCAGTCAGTGAATCACTGTGGATCACTGCACAGGACTGTGCAATGTTGTGAATGGGATTGCTGTGAGTCAGGGCAACTTTACAGCAGCTAACAGCAACAACAAATAGGCACGATTTTAATAAAAATCTTGAAAATTCTACATGTTAACAAGGATATGAAGTCAAGGGGACTCATACATTGCAGGTGGGGTGTAAATTGTGCAAATATTTTAGAAAGCAGTAAGTAAAAATTGGCATCATCATCTAAAACAGAAAATGTTTGTATCTTACTATTAGCAGTCCTGGTATGGTGCTATGGGTTAATGCACTGCGCTGCAAAGTCAGTTTGAACCAGAAGGTTGGCAGTTCAAGATCACCAGGTGCTCCTCGGAAACCGTATATAGGGTCACTATGGGTTGGAACCGACTCGACAGCACTTAACAACAACATAAGCAGTTAGATATGTGCCCTGCAAAATACATACCAAAATGTTTAGTGTTACACTGTTGATAATAGCAAAAAGACTGAAAACCACTGATGCTTCCATACACAAGAAAATGGATACATTTGGTATATTTACTTAATGCGTTCCAGAGACAATGAAAATAAAGGAATGGCAGCTACATGCATCAGAGTGGATAAATCCAAAAAGCAGTCTTAAATGAAAAGACCATTTTCAGAAGAATACACACCAAATCTCATTTATATTATTTTTGAAACATATGGTAATGAATACACTATTTAAAGATAGAAAAAATAATGACAACAAGCATAGGAATGGTAAACACAAAATCAGAGGAGTGGTTATCCTTGGGTGGTTGTTGTTGCTGTTAGGTGCCATTGAGTTGGTACTGACTCACAGCGACCCTATGCAAAAGAGAACGAAACACTGCCCAGTCCTGGGCCAACCTCACAATTGTTGCCACCCTTGAGTCCATAATATGGCCAATCCATCTCGCTGGGGGGGTCTTCCTCTTTTTCTTTGACCCTCCACCCTATCAAACATAATATCCTTCTCCAGAAACTGGTCCCTTCTGACAATGTGTCCAAAGTATGAGAGATGAGGTCTGGCCATCCTGACCTCTAAAAACACTCTGGCTGCACTTCTTCCAATACAGATCTGTTGGTTCTTTTGGCAGCCCATAGCACTTTCAATATTCTCCTCCAACACTGTAACTCAAAAGCATCAATTCTTCTATGGTCTTCCTTATTCACTGTCCAGCTTTCGCATTCATATGAGGTTATTGAAAATACCATATCCTTGGGAGAGTATGTTATTCAGAGGGATACCCACAAATTACGAATCAAACCAAAAACCACGCCCATTGCCATCACGTGGATTCAGCAGCCCTTTAGGGCAGAATTTCTGAAAAGACTTATGTATGATAATGATTTCTTTCCTAATAAGATGGTGGGTCCATTATATGTTATACTTTTGAATGTATAAAACATGTTACAAGCTTTAAACAGAAAGAAAACATAACATTAGTTTCAGAAAGAACTGTCTTCACTTACGAATAAATAAACTGAGGTAGAGACAAAACAACTTGCTAAAATCTCACAGCTGATTGGAAGCATTTATCCGGAAGAGACATCTTTTAGGAAATGCTCTACTAGGTCTCAGCTGCTGTAACTCGGATCTGGATTGGATTCGCCACTTGGCGCGCCAGCTGACTCAGGAGTACTAGATCCTCCCATCCCCGCCCCCGAGGGGCAGGCCCACTAGACTGGAGTGCATTATTGGCCCAAGAAAACGCGCGGGCGCGAGTGTGAGGGAAAGCGCAGAATCAATATGGAAGGGCGGGAGTCCGTCAGCAACTGGTTGTACGGTATGGACGCCAGCTCCGTTTTCTAAAAATTTGCCAGGCCAGGTTTTCCTCCACGCTCCAGGCCTGGGAGGAGCCCTGGTGCGACACGACTGTGAGATCCCGGGTGGTGCTCTCACTGCACGTCTCCGATTTGCCGCTTTGAGCAGCGCGGGATTTGCGGGAACTCTGGTCGGCTCGGAGATCTGGAGGCGGCAGCGGGGGTTTCCTACTCTGGAGTGCCGGGGGTAAGTGCTGCAGATCCTCCGAGCGCGGGTCCGGAAACCGACCTTTCTTCCTCTTGTGCTGAGACTTACTTTATTTTTCTTGGACTCGTTTGTGTTGCGTACTGATTTTGCCACTGTGTCCCACTCGTATCCGAGTAGCTGGGCTTTTGTTTGGTTTCTACTTGTTTTTAAAATGAAAATAATAATAGCACACTTCGTGGGACTGGTGTGGATTCCTGGTGTGGCGCTGTAGAATCAGCACTGGATTGCTAATCACAAAGTGGGCGGTTCAAACCATATACAGGGGTCTCTATGAGTCGGAACTGACTCGACATACTTAACACCACCGTGGGACTATTGTTAAAATTAAAGGAATTAATGGTGAAAACAGTACTTGGCAGGCGGTAAAGATTGTTAACTAGTGTTACTTTATGTAAGCGAGTAGTTGAAAGAAGTGAATCTGAATAGTTAAAATCAAAATTTGCCAGGTCTTCCTTTTCAGCTAAGTGTACCCTGGCAGTGTTTGCATTCTGGCGGTATTTCTGTTTTTATTTTCTGTTTCCAGCTCTAGACCCAGACCCTTGTGTAGTGGGGAAGAACCAAGGATGCTCCCCTTGGTGAAAGGGAATGGCAAATAATATAGGAGCCTTGGACATAAACTGAGACAAGTTAAACTTTCTCTGATAGTAGATATTTTGGTTTTGGCTTAATATTATTGCATCTGAAAGGCATAAGATCTGTTCATCCCTCCCACCAAGATGTACTGGTGTAAATAAACCAGCAACTATACATATGGTTATCAAAGATATTTCCGTGAGCGTAGTGGTTACGAATCGGGCTGTGAACCGCAAGGTCAGCAGTTCGAAACTCCCAGCTGCTCTGCGGGAGAAAGATGAGACTTTCAGCTCCCGTAAAGATTTACATCTTCGGAAACCCTGTTCAGGGTCGCTATGGGTCAGAACCGACTCGACGGCACTTATCAACAACAACAACCATGGCACATAAGAACAACAACAACAAACCTTGGATCCAGTCTAAAGCATAGTGGAATCTTGACCATTTTTTAATTTAAACAATGAATGGAGAAAGTGCAGAGGACTAAGGTTAAGACATTGGGTAATCTGATCTCTAGCCCTGTTTCTGTTACATGGGGACAGAACCATTAATTGGCTACTCAACTTCTCTGAACCCCAATATCATAATCTATTTAAAATACCATAAAATGAATACCATTTTTACATCCTTTCTTGAGTTTTGAGAATCAAATAAAATGATTTTACTCAGTGATTCCTAGACTAGCCATATCAGCATCACCTGGAAACTTCTTGTTGTTAAGTGCCATAGAGTCAGTTCTGATTCATAGTGACCCTGTGTAGATAGGGTTTCCGAGGAGTGGCTGGTGAGTTTGAACCACCGACCTTGAGGTCCAGTGCTTATCTTATCCAACTTCACACCAGTACTTCTGGAAACATGCAAAATCCACACACCCCATCTCAGGTGTAAGAAATTCTGATTGTTATTGTTGTTAAGTACCCTTGAGTCCGACCCTTAGCGACCCTGTATAGGGTTTCCAAGGAGCAACTGGTGAGCTTGAACCACCGGCCTGGCAGTTCAAACGACTTTGTAGTTTGACGCTTTAGCCCACAGCGCCACACCAGGACTCCATACCTTGAAGCTGATTCTGTTTCATAGCAACCGTTTGTACAACAGAAGGAAACCCGGCCCAGTTCTGCTCCGTCCTTGCAATCATTATGTTTGAGCCTATTGTTGCCACCACTGTCAGTACATCTTATTCAATGTCTTCCTGTTTTTCACTGACCCTCTGCTTAATAGCCTTAATGTTCTTCTCCAGAGGCTGGACCCTCTTGATAATATGTCGAAAGTATGTAAGACTTACTTGATTCTAGAAACATTTTGGTCATACTTTTTCCAAGTCAGATTTGTTTGTTCTTCTGGCAGTTCATAGAATATTCAGTATTTTCCCCAACACTACAATATGTGTGTATCATTCTTCTCTGGTCATCTTTATTATCTACGTTTTGCATGCATATGTTGTTATTAGATGCCACTGAGTCGGTATCAACCCATAGCGACCTTATGCACAGCAGAAGAAAACACTGCCCGATCCTGGGGATGTCAGCCTGAGGACTAAGGCGCACCTGATCCAAACCATGGTATTTTCAGTAACCTCATGCATGTGAAAGCTAGACAGTGAATAAGGAAGACCGCAGAAAAATTGATGATTTTGAGTTATGGTGTTGGAGGAGAATATTGAAAGTGCATGGCTGCCAAAAGAACCAATAGATCCGTTTTGGAAGACGTACGGCCAGAATGCTCCTTGGAGGCCATGATGGCCAAACTTTGTCTCTCATACTTTGGACATATTGTCAGGAGGGACCAGTCGTTGGAGAAGGATGTCATGCTGGGTAAGATGGAGGGTCAGAGAAAAAGAGGAAGACCCCCAGTGAGATGGATTGGCCAAGTGGCAGCATGCATATGAGGTGATTGAAAATACCAGGGCTTGGGTCAGGCCCACGTTAGTCTTTAAACTGACATCTTTGCTCTTAACATTTTAAAGAGATCTTTTCAGCAAATTTGCCCAATTAAGACTTCTTTGATTTCTTGACTGCAGTTTCTATGAGCGTTGATTGTGGATCCAAACAAAATAAAATCCTTAACAATTTAAATATGTATCTCATTTATCGTGATGCTGCTTATTGGTTCAGTTGTGAGGATTTTGGTTATCTTTATATTGAGGAATAATCCATACTAAAGGCTATAGTCTTTGATCTTCATTAGTAAATGCTCAAGATCTCTTCACTTTCAGTAACCAAGGTTGTGCCATCTGAACATTACAGGTTGTTCATCTAATTGTGGCACTGAATTCTTCATATGGAGTCCTGGTGTGGCACTGTGGGCTAATCTGCCAGACTGCAAAGTCGTTTGAACTGCAAGGTCAGCGGGTCAAGCTCCACAGCTGCTCCTTGGAAACCCTACACAGGGTCACTATGGGTCGGAATCGACTTGACAACACTGAACAACAACAAGCATTCTTCATATAATTCAACTTCTCAGGTTATTGCTCAGTCTACAGATTGAATAAGTGTGGTGAAAGGATACAACCCCAGTGCAAACGTCCCCTGATTTTAAACTACTGTCTCCTTGTTCTCTTTGACCACACCTGGTTTTGTGGGATAAAGCACTGGATCACACGATGTTAGAACCATTAGGCCGGTGGTTCCAATTTACCAGCTGCTTCTTGGAAACCGTATACAAGATTGCTAGGAGTTAGAACCAACCACAAGGCACTTCACAACATTAGAATAAAAGAATCCCAGGTGCTTAAAGAGCTCTGCTACTGAGAGGCCAGCAGTTTGAATTTATCAGTCACTCCATATTGACAGAAAACTTCCAGAGGTTCAAGCCGGAGTCAGTAGAGGCCATGGAACGAGGGATATCGTTGCTGATGTACAATGGATCTTAGCTGAAAGCAGAGAATGTCAGAAAGAGGTTTACCTGTGCTATATTGACTATGCAAAGGCTTTCGATTAGCTATGGACAACATTGCAAAGTATGAGTATTCCAGAACACTTAATTGTGCTCATGAGGAATCTGTATCTGGACCAAGAGGCAGTTGTTTGAACAGAACATGGGAACATTGAATGGTTTAAAATTAAGAAAGGTGTGCGACAAGGTTGTGTTCTTTCACCATACTTATTCAACCTGTATGCTGAGCAAATAATCCTAGAAGCTGGGTTCTGTGAAGAACAATGTGGCATCAGGATTGGAGAAAGACTCATTAACAACCTGCGATAATGCAGATGATACAACCTTGCTTGCAGAAAATGAAGAGGACTTAAAATACTGACGATCAAAGAGCACAGCCTTCGGTATGGATTGCATCTCAATGTCAAGGAAACAAAAATCCTCACCACTGGACCAATAAACAACATTCTTATCATTGGAGAAAAGATTGAAGTTGTCAAGGACTTCATTCTTCTTGGATCAACTATCAACACTCACAGAAGCAGCAGTCAAGAAATCAAAGGACGTATTGCATTAGGCAAATCTGTTGCACAAGACCGTTTAAAAGTGTTGAAGAGCAAAGATGTCAGTTTGAGGACTAGGGTTTGTCTGACCCAAGCCATGGTATATTCAATAACCATATGTATGCAAAAGCTGGACAGTGAATAAGGAGAACTGTTGAAGAATTGATGCTTTTGAGTTTGGAGGTGAATATTGAAAGTATTATGGGCTGCCAAAAGAACAAACTGATCAGTGTTAGAAGAACTGCAGCCAGAGTGTGCCTGGGAGGCCAAGATGGCCAAACTTCATCTCTCATACTTCAGATATATTGTCAGGAGGGATCAGTCGCTTGAGAAAGATACCATGTTTAGTAAGGTAGAGGGTCAGAGAAAGAGAGGAAGACTCCCAGCGAGATGGATTGACAAAATTACAGCATCGGTGGGCTCAAGCTTGGCAACAATAGTGAGGTTGGCCCAGCATCGGGCAGTGTTTCGTGCTGTTGTGCATAGGGTTGCTATGAGTCAGTACCGACTCGATGGCACCTAATAACAACAACCATGGGAGAAGGGTGTAGTTGTCTGCTTTGGATTGATGCCGTAAAGATTTGCTGCCTTGGAAACCTTAGGGAGCAGTCTTACTCTCTCCTCTAGGGTCACTGTTAACTCAGAGTCAACTCCAAGGCCGTGGGTTTGGTTTTGGTTAGAGTTAACTGAGGCCATAATGGGATAGAACAAGCATCAGGTGTTTTATTACTGATACTGCACCTCCCCTTTCCTGACTTTTGCAGAGACAGTCTGTCATTTACTAATTGATTAAGAGTTCAGAAATAAGGATATCAGCAGGATTGTGTGGTTTCCACATCTGAGGGAGAGGAGCATATTGTTTTACACTTCAGTGTTAGCATTTGTCCTGTAAAATTACAATTTGTGGAATGTGAATTCTGCTTCCTCAAAGGAATTTACTATAACCCATATTTCATCTTATGGGTACAATTAGTGCAACTAATGTATTTAAAAAGAAAATCCTTTGAAACTTTTCCTAAATCTCTTCTGTGTTTTTGTTCTTTAGTTGTGTGAAAGATTCAAAGAACACTTTAGGAAGACCATATCCCATGAAAGATGTAAGTTATCTTTTTACATTTTAATGTAATTTTCTCACAATTGACACTACCATTTGTGGGTGTCTGAAAAGGTTTGCACACTTCAGTTGATAAATTTAAATGTTTAATTGTAGTGGAAAATATATCCCATTTCCTCCTTTTGCCAATCTAATGGAGAAAATTATTGCCATGTTTTTGTGGGAGTACAGGAATTTTGCAAACCTCATGATCTTAGCTCGTGTTAGCTTCCTGTGCATGCAACGCATGTTATATGTGTGTGTTCGTTATTTACATGGGCACGTTGTGTGTGGAAAAATGTGTTAGTTAATATTTATAATATTTCTTTTTTGGGTGCATTGTTGTTGTGAAGTGCCCTCGAGTTGGTTCCGATGCATAGCGACCCTGTCTAGGGTTTCTGAAAAGCAGCTGGTGAGCTTGAACCGCTGACCTTGCAGTTCAAACGGCTTTGCAGTCTGGCGCATTAACCCACAGTGCCATACCAGGACTCCTTTTGTGTGCATAGGTTGGTTTTATTTTAGTTTAGACAATTGCCGTAGTGTAAAAATTATAACAACTTTTCATATTTTGCTTTTTTTTTTTTTAACTTACACATAGGTCTCCATGTTATAATTTTAACTTATGAAACAATTGTTTATAATTCCCTTTAGTCTACATTATAGTTTCATTTGACCGATTCTTCATAATTTAGGCTGCTCCCAGTTTTTCATCATTATAAATATAACAATCTGTGTATAAAATATCTGTCTATAGAGTGCAAGAATGGCTTGGGGGCCAGGTCTGGCTTCCTCTGGCTTCACAAGCAGGAAAGAGGAGAATCACCAACCCAAGGTTCCTATGAGGTGGAGGTCAGACATACCCCTACCCTCTAATCTTCATCCTCTTCTGACACCAACCATCCCTCCATGGCACTCCACTTCTGGACTGGGTTCCATAATCCATTGCAATGGCCACACAGAACTCAGTCAGTACTCACGAATATGAGGTTTATTAGGGAAGTGAAGAGTGTATAATTCATGATCTGAAACAACTCAGGATACAGCAGCTCTCTGGTCCCAAGCCCCTCTTCTGAGTTATACAGAAGGCACGCCTCTCTCTGGTCTTGGGCTTCTCAGTGATGCTACCCCGGGGCCTCTGCTCTGCTTGGGCAAGTGTTAACCAACTCCTTTAGTCCTGTGAGTAAAAGCCCAAAGGACACCCCTGTACTTCAAGCCAGCTTCCTACCTGATGGCTCTCAGCTTTACCCAGTATGTGGGGCTGGGAGGCCTCCCACTCTGTCCCTCTGTGCCTCTGCCTCTCTGCGCAGGGGGTCCAAGAGTCGTACGCGTGACTCTTGTGTCTTTACGGTCATTAGATCCCCGTTGCTTCTGTGATGGCTCACTTTAAACCGAGTAGGATGGCAAAAACCAACCACTTCCTTTGGAGAGTCCTTTACACCCTATTTGTATGGTCCCAGTCAGTCATTTGGTGGAAACAACATTAGCGTTGTATGAGAGTAGGTGTTTCTAGGTTACTCTTGTCTTGAGTGCTCTCTCTCTCCTGAGTGTGACTACCTAACTCTGAAACTCTGTAATGCCTCTAGGAGGCGTCTCAGCTCTGGGCTCCCATGCAGTCTTGGCTTGTTTTTTTTGAATGACTATTTCTCTGCTCTCCTGCTCTACTCCCTGCCTTTTGGTAGCTAGGATTTCTGTAAACTTTTTAGCCCTGATCCTGACTTTCCTTAGCTGAAAGCCCAGAGACGCATCTGGGATGAATTTCTTTAGGTTTTCTTTCCTTGTTCCATTGGAGGGCAGCTACCTTATGCTGGTGGGAGCCCCAGATCATCAGAGAGCACCGGTCAGCTCTACTTCTTTGACTTTCCATCCCAAAGTCCTCCTTGAATCATTCTGACAGTGAGGATCTGTGAGCAGTGAAGATTGCGGTATTGTTTATTTTACTTTGTTGTGAAATGCCGTCCAGTTGATTCCAATCCATAGTGACCCTGTATAAGGTTTCTGAGGAGCAGCTGGTGAGCTTGAATTGCTGACCTTGCAGTTCAAACAGCTTTTCAGTCTGGTGCCACACCAGGACTCCATATTTTTTGTCTTCATATTTTTCGTATTTCCTTATCTGTTCACGTTGTTGTTATTGTTAGGTGCCATCAAGTCTGTACTGACTCATAGCGACCCTATGCACAGCAGAATGAAACACTGCCCGATCCTGGGCCAATCTCACTATTATTGCCACAATTGGGTCCATTGATGCTGCCGCTTGGCCAATCCATGTCCCTGGAGGTTTTCCTTTTTTTCTCTGACCCTCCTTACCAAACATGATATCCTTCTCCTGTGACTGGTCCCTCCTGATAATATGTCCAAAGTGTGAGAGATGAAGTTTGGCCATCTTGGCCTCCAAGGAACACTCTGGCTGCACTTCTTCCAAAGGATCTATTGGCAGCCCATGGCACTTTCAATATTCTCTTCCAACACCATAACTCAAAAGCGTCAATTCTTCTATGGTCTTCCTTATTCACTGTCCAGCTTTCACATGCATATGATGTTATTGAAAACACCATAGCTTGGGTCAGGTACACCTTAGTCCTCAAGCTGACATCTTTGCTCTTCAACACTTTAAAATGGTCTTGTGCAACAGATTTGCCCAATGCAATACATCATCTAATTTCTTGACTGCTGCTTCTGTGAGTGTTGATAGTTGATCCAAGAAGAATGAAGTCCTTGACAACTTCAATCTTTTCTCCATTGATAAGAATGTTGTTTATTGGTCCAGTGGTGAGGATTTTTGTTTCCTTGACATTGAGATGTAATCTCTACCAAAGGCTGTGCTCTTTGATCTCCATCAGTAAATGTTTTAAGTCTTCACTTTCAGCAAGCAAGGTTGTATCATCTGCATATCGCAGGTTGTTAATGAGTCTTCCTCCAATCCTGATGCTACGTTTTTCTTCATACAATCCAGCTTCTTGGATTATTTGCTCAGCATACAGGTTGAATAAGTATGGTGAAAGAATACAACCTTGTTGCACACCTTTCTTAATTTTAAACCATTCAGTGTTCCCATGTTCTGTTTGAACAACTGCCTCTTGGTCCAGATACAGATGCCTCATGAGCACAATTAAGTGTTCCGGAATACTCATACTTTGCAATGTTGTCCGTAGCTTGTCATGATCCACACAATCGAAAGCCTTTATGTAGTCAATAAAGCACAGGTAAACCTCTTTCTGACATTCTCTGCTTTCAGCTAAGATCCATTGTACATCAGCAATGATATCCCTCGTTCCACAGCCTACTTCTGACTCCAGCTTGAACCTCTGGAAGTTCTCTGTCAATGTATATACAATTGTAGCCATTTCTGTTTTACCTTTAGCAAAACTTTACTCCCATGGGCTATCAAAGAGATTGTCCGATGATTTCCGCATTCCGTTGGGTCACCTTTCTTTGGAATGGGCACAAATACGGATCTCTTCCAATCGGTCAGTCAGATAGTAGTCTTCCAAATTTCTTGGCAGAGATGAGTGAGTGCCTCCTGTGCTGCCTCACTTTCTTGAAAGATTTCCATTTTTATTCCATCAATTCCTGGTGCTTTGTTCTTTGCCTATGCCTTCAATGTGCCTTGGACTTCCTCCTTCAGTATCATTGGCTCTTGATCATATGCTACCTCTTGAAACAGCTGAACTTTAACCTTTACCTTTTGGTACAGTGACGCGTATGTATTCCTTCCATCTTCTTTTGATGCTTTCTGCATCATTCAATAATTTGCCCAGAGAATCTTTCAATAATGAAAAATCGAGGCTTGAATTTTTCTTCAGTTATCCCAGCTTGAGAAATGCTGAGCGTGTTCTTCCTTTTTAGTTTTCTGATTCCACATCTTTGTTCATTTTGTTGTAATATTTGGCTTTTCTTCTCTAGCTGATCTTTGAAATTTTCTGTTCAGCACTTGGATCTCCTTATTTCTTCCATTTGCTTTAGCATCTCTATGCTGGAGAGCAAGTTTCAGTGTCTCTTCTGACATCCATTTTGACCTTTTCCTTCTTTCTTGTCTTCTTAATGACTTTTTGCTTTCTTCATATATGATGTTCTTGATGTCATCCCACAACTCTTCTAGTCTTCGATCTTTAGTGTTTACTGTATCATATCTGTTCTTCAGATGATCTGTAAATTCAGGTGGGATATATTCAAGGTCATAGTTTGGCTCTCATGGACTTGTTTCCATTTTTTCTTCAGCTTCAGTTTGAATTTGCTTATGAGTAATTGATGGTCTGTCCCACAGTCTGCCTCTGACCTTGTTTTGACTGATGATAAGGAACTTTTTCATTGTCTCTTTCCACAGATATAGTCAATTTGATTTCTGTGTATTCCGTCTGGTGAGGTCCATGTGTATAGTTATCGTTTATGCTGTCTAAAGAAGGTATTTGAAATGAACAAATCACTGGTTTTACAGAATTCTATCATGCATTCTTCAGCATCATTTCTACCACCAAGGCACTACATATGACAGTATTTCTCTGCTATTCATAAGGTTTTCAGTGACTAAATATTCAGAAGTAGTTCATCATTCCTTCTTCTTTGTCTTTGTCTGGAAACTCATCTGAAACCTGTCCACCATGGGTGATCCTGCTGGTATTTAAAATACCGGTGGCATAACTTCCAGAATCACAGCAAATCACAAGTCACCACAGTACGACAAACTGACAGACAAGTGGTGTCATATTGCCGTGCACATTTTCCAGAGCTATATGGAATTTTTCTCATTTTTATATTTGCTTTCTCCTCTCAGGAGAGCTTGTCATAGGAAGAAAGGAAAGCCCTGGGCTTATAAGTAGATTGAACTGTAAGCCTTTATCTTGCTAAAATACCTATATATATACTCAAAACTGCTTTATGAGCTTTTGGATATGTAGGCATATTTCTGGGGTAGAGGTCTTTAGTTTTCCTTACATATGGCGTGGTGAACTACCTTTGAGCCAAATCCAGCTTTCCCTTATTTTTTTATTTTGACTTATTTTTGTACAGCCCTGCAAGCTAAAATTTTTTTTTTTTTTACATCTTTAAATAGTTGAGAGAAATCATATGGAATGCAAATTTAAGTGTCTATTCATAAGTTTTCTTGGAACACAGCAAGTCATTCTTTTCTGCACTGTGACTGGTTGTGTTCATATTACAATGACTGAGTTGAGTAGCTGGCAAGAGAAGTCCTATACCCACTACACAAAATGGCATGGAGGCCATGTCTGACGTCCTCTGACTCACAATGGGGAAAGACAATCACACTCAAGATCAGTCCAAAGCTGAGTGCTATGATGCTGAAGTCAGATGTGCCTCTACCTTATAGCCATCTGTATCTTATTCTGATGCCAGTCGTCGCTCCCACAGCATCCTGGCTTCTCTGCTGGATTTCATAACCCATTGCAATGGTCACACAGAAACCAGAGACAGTGCTCATGATCATGGGCTTTATTAAGGAGGTGAACAGAGTACAATTCAGGGTCAGTACCAACTCAGGATGCAGCAGTTCTCTGGTCAGCAGCACCTCTTCTCTGCCGTCCTGCAAGTACGTCTTGCTCTTAGCTTGCATCTGTCAGCCATTTGGTCCCTTGGCCTCTGCCCTGCACAGGCAAGTGCTCCAAAGCTCATGCAGCCAGTCTACAAGTGCCCCAGAGGGCACAATCTGCAAGGCAGACCCCTGCCCATAGGCACTCAGCTTTACTCAGTCTGTGGCCCTAGAGCCCCCAGCTACTGTGTCTCCTTACTCCACAGCCAGCGGTACTTTTCCAGGTAGGGATCTCATGCTCTACTCATAGCTGTTCTTGATCGTCCTGGGATTACCTGTTTCTGCTTTTGAGAGAGTTCTTTTGAAACTTAAGTGAGGTGGCAACACTAACCAATCCCTGCATTAGAGTCCTGTAGGCATTAGATTCCTGTATACCCTATTTCCATGGCCCCACCCAGGTGTGGTGCTGTGGGTTATTGCACTGGAGTGCAAAGTTGGTTTGAACTGCAAGGTCGGTGGTTCAAGCTCACTGGCTTCTCCTCAGAAACCCTATACAGAGTTGCTATGGGTTGAAACCAATTTGACAGCACTCAACAATAACAACAAGACTACTTTAAATAGAAAAGCCATATCAAGTAAATTCATGGTACCACATCCACAAAGCCTAAAATATTTATTCTCGGGTCTATTGTGGTAAAATATCTATTAAGCAGCAGTGATCATGTGTTCTTGAAAATAGATGTAGCTTTGTAATGCTGTTTACTTGTTAGAGGCAATTTAAATAACTGACTTTACTTGTTTTTAGAAAGCTGACCCAAAACCCACTGATGTGTTTGATTTTCCTGATAATTCTGATGTCTTAAGCATTGACAAGCTGGGTGAAAATGAGCAAGATGAAGAGCCTTATGAGGTCTTTGGTTAGTATTTTAAATCTTTATCCTACGCAACAGCATTTGTTATTGTTATGTGCTGTGCAGTCTGTTTGGACTCATAGCAACCCTGTATAGGGTTTCCGAGGCTGTAAATCTTTACAGGAGCAGAAAGCCTCAGCTTTCTCCCGTGGAACATCTGGTAGTTTCGAACTGCTGACTTTGAGGTTCGCAGCCCGATTCATAACCACTACACTACCAGAGCTCCTTATGAAACAGCATTTAGACCAGAACTAAAAATAGATGCAACAACTAATAAAAGTATAGAAATGCCTTCAAATATAAAAATCAGTTGTCTGCATGTAAATGTTTTGGAGAGTGCCTGATCATTTGAATTAATTTTTCTTACTTCTAGATACCTTGGAACTATTGTTAGTAGCCATTGAGTCTCTTCTGACTCATGGCAGCCCACAGGGTTTTCTAGGCTGTGATCTTTAACAAGCAGAGAGCCAGACCAGTCTTCCTAGGTGCCACTAGTAAGTTTGAACAGTCAGCCTATTAGCTAGTAGTCATTTGCAGTTTTCAGGGATTCATATTGACAACTCGGAACTCTTAACAGTATCCAAGTAGAACTGTTCTAATAACATGTTGACAAGCCAGTGACATCGACCTACTGTAGTAATATAACAAGAGGAATATAAAATTATTCTTAACAACAACAACAACAACCATCAATAGAGTCGGTTGTTAGTGCCATTGAGTTGTTTCCGACTCATCTTGACCCTATATAGAGTTTCTGAGAAGCAGTTGGTGAATTTGAACCACTGACTTTTCTGTTAAAACAGACTTTGCATTCCAGTGCATTATCCCACAGAGCCAATCAGTTGTTGTTGTTATGTGCCGTCGAGTCGGTCCTGACCCATAGCAACCCTGTGCAGGGTTTCTGAGTCTAAATCTTTACGGGAGCAGAAAGCCTCATCTGTCTCCCACGGAGCAGCTGGTAGTTTCAAACTGCTGACCTTGAGGTTCGCAGCCCAATCGTAACCACTATGCTACTAGAGCTCGGCTACCAGAGCAATCAGCAGGGGGCTTTAATTTAGGGAGAGGAGGAGTCATTTCCCCTTATCTTAGGCCACCTGAGGCAAGGGATCCTTAAAGATATAGCCACCATGAAGTTTCTACTTAATTCCCTGGAGTGGGAGGGAAACTGGGTGGCCGAGAGTACAGTGAATTTTTCAAACAGGATTGCTTCTTTCCATGTGTCCCTGATAGTTCCACAGACCAAGAATGGCACAAAGTGCCAAGTGCCCTACTTCAGTAACAACAGTGATCAGTATTTTTGCTGGAATATATTTTAAGAGACTTTTGAAAACTTGTTTATCCTCCCTGATACTTTTAATTTGACATCTAAAACATTTCTCAACCTTTTTTTTGTTAGTAAAAGCAGAAAATGTTTTTATTTAGTATTTTTCATTTTATAATATGAAATAAGCTGGGACGTAGACATCCCAGAATAACTTTTATTATGATTTGATAAAAAAGCTTTAATTTTTAAATCACCCAGAATCTAAATTATGTATTTTTTATATTAAAATTTAATTCACATACCATAAAAATTTGCCTTTTTCTATGTATTTCATTTTTACTTTTAAAAACTTGATAATTAATATGCAATAAAATTTAATCTTTTAAAATTTGCAAATTAGTGGCTTTTACTATACTCACAAAATTTTGCAACCAGCACCATGATCTAGTTCAAGAAGAGAACAGCTAATTACAATTCGATGGCAGCTAACAACAATCAACAACAGAATCATACAATATCTGTCCTTTTGTACCTTGCTTCTTTGAATGAATATTTTCAAGGTTTATCCATAATTGTACCATGTATCAGTACTTCATTTCTTCTTATGGCAGAACAATTGCCCATTGTTTGGCTGTCCTCAATTGGTTGCCTTCAATTTTGTATATCTATTGATGTCGAAGAATGCGGAAATCTTCGGACAATCTCTTTGATATCTCATGCTAGTAAAGTTTTGCTAAAGGTAATACAGAAACAGCTACAATCATACATTGACAGAGAACTTCCAGACATTCAAGCCAGGTTCAGAAGAGGATTTGGAACGAGAGATATCATTGCTGATGTCTGATGGATCTTGGCTGAAAGCAGAGAATACCAGAAGGATGTTTAACTATGCTTTATTGACTACGCGAAGGCTTT